ATGTTTATGTAAATGGGACGGTCCTAAGAAGCGCATACGTAGTATCATTTGCATTCAATTACACCTTGATTTGGAGAATATTACCTCCGCACAGATACCTTATTTAATCGCGCATTTCGCTCCGGACTCGTTTTTTTAATACTTCATGCAATTTATTTGCATTTAAAAGGAAATGGCAACGAAATCTATAAGAATATAAGTTAAACGCGCTTCAGCAAGTGTACGTGTTTGTATATGCGTCATTTAGCTGTGGAAACTTGGATGCAAATTTCTATTTCCGGTTTAGCCAGAAGGGTAGTGCACGCTGAATTACACAAGTTTGCTTTACGCTACTTGCCAAACGGCAAAAGTTGATTTAGTCTTTGACAAGTATGATAAACAACTAAAACATTGTTCTGTAAACTACATGGGGGTGTCGTTTCTATAAGATGAGAGCGTTTAGTGGAAATTTTTAAGTGAGTTTAAAGTTTTATCTGGTCAATTGTTACGGGACAAGAGTTAATTGGTTTTTTGTCAGTGTCACGTGCGAGATAAACGATGCAGGTGGCCATCAGTTCTGACGGTTGCGATGTTGTTTTTATTAGAGGAGGTGGTTTTCGCTTAAATACAAGAATTATGAGTGAACGAGGCTTAGGTTGGGTTACTAGTGTCTTTGGGATAAAAACATAATTTCTAATAGCAATGTTCTTGTGATTTTTGAGAACTACAGATTTTGGGATCGTTGAGAGTTCTAGGATATGTATGATTTTTAGGATTGGATCTTTGGAGTCTTCATTACCTTCAGGACCTTTAGGACCTCTAAAATCTTCAGAATCTTTTTAAATTTTTACGATTTTTGGTATTTTGATAATCTTTAGGATATCAGTTGTTGAGGGACCTGTGGTCTGTGACTTTTGTGTCTTTAATGTCTTTAGGATCTTCAGGATCTTCACTGCCTTACGGATTTTGAGAATTTTTAGGAGCGTTAGAAACTGTAAGATGTTCACTATCTTTTAGAATTTTTTGGTTCTCAGCGTTTATAGCCTATAGGATCTTTAGTTCAGGTATATGGGATCTTCAGGTACTTTGGGATCTTCGGTAACTTTGGAATCTTCAAGATCTTCGGGATTTTCGAGATCTTTAGGTTTTTCAGGATCTTTTGGATCTTCACGACTTCTAAGATCTTCAGGACATTCAAGATCTTCAGAATCTTTGAGATTTTCAGGATCTTCGGCATCTTCAGGATCTTCAGGATGTTCAGGATCTTCAGGATGTTCAGGATCTTCAGGATTTTCAGGATCTTCAGCATCGTCAGGATTTTCAGGACCTGTACGATAAGTGTTTGTGACATTTCTTATTTAGGGTATTCAACATCTTCTGGATCTTGTTGATCTTCTGACTCCTCGGACTCTTCGGTATCTTCGAGATCTTTAGGATCTTCAGAATCTTCAAGATTTTCAGGATTTTTAGGATTTTCAGGATCTTCAGGATCTTCATGATCTTCAGAATCTTCAGGATATTGTGGATCTTCTCGATCTCCAGGACCTTCAGGATCTTTAGGATCTTCCATGATCTTCATGTTTTTCATGTTCTTCACGATGTTAATGATCTTTAGGATATTTTGGATCCTTAGGATTTTCAAGAACTTTTTATTTTCATTTCATTCCTTTTATTTCTATTTAACAGCCCTTTCCTGTTTTGGGCCTTCAACAGGCTTTCACCCAATTACATAGTGACACTCATAATGCTTTTTAGAGATGCCCCTGCAAAGGTCTTAAGTTGTTTTATACTACCCCGGTATTTACCTTAGCAATCAGGACATCTTAATTCAGGATATTCGGGATCTTCAGGATGTTCAGGATTTTCAGAATCTTCAGGGTCTTCAGGATGTTCAGGATGTTCAGGATGTTCAGGATGTTCAGGATGTTCAGGATGTTCAGGATGTTCAGGATGTTCAGGATGTTCAGGATCTTCAGGATCTTCAGGATCTTCAGGATCTTCAGGTTCTTTAGGATCTTAAGGATCTTCAAGATCTTCAGGATCTTCAGGATCTTCAGGATCTTCAGGATCTTCAGGATCTTCAGGATCTTCAGGATCTTCAGGATCTTCAGGATCTTCAGGATCTTCAGGATCTTCAGGATCTTCAGAACCTTCAGGTTCTTCCGGATTTTCAAAATCTTCAGGATCTTTAGGAGCTTTGCAAATTTTAATATCGTCACAATCTTTTGAAATGTTTCGTTCTTTGGGGTTCTTAAACCCATGAGAATTCTTTTTTGGGTTATATGAGATATTTGGGATATTGACTTTGGGATTTTTGAGATATTGTATCTTTTCGAGATGGTTGTATCTGTAACTTTTGTGATAAATGAACTCTATCAGGTTCTTCGGATCATGAAAAGCTCTAGGGCTCCTCCTATGTATCTGGTATTTAGGATGTTTAGGATCTTTAGGGTCTTTGGTATCTACACGGTCTATGGGAACTTTAAGATCTTCAGGATTTTTCCAATTTTTAGGTTCTTGGGTATCTACTTTAGGATCTATTTTCGAGGTATACGAGATCATTGAGATATTAGTTTAAGCTTTGTTGGATAGGTCTCTGTGAACTTTGCATATTGAGTATTTGAGGATCTTTAGAATGCTCAGGATCTTTAAGCTTGTCAGGATCTTCGAGATTTTCAGGATCTCAGAATTTTTAGGATATATCTATAAGATTCTTAGGACCTTTCGGATTTTCCTCTATAATCGTTCTTTATAGTATTTTTAAGGTTTTCAGATGTTTTGGGTTTTTCGAGTATTAAGGATCTCCGGAACACTTTAAAAGTTTGGAATTCTGTCGGATCTTTAGCATCCTTGACATGTTGGAACCAAAAAAATAAGGATATTATTAAAGACCATCGGTATATTTAGCATCATTAACACGTTTAGGATCCTTATAATTTTTAGGACCTTTGGAGGTCTTTGAGGTGCTTTTGGAAACTTTGAAACCTTTGACACATTTGAGATCCTTGTGATCCATGGATTCTATGGAATATTCGCGATTTGTGGTGTATTTGGGATCTCCAGGATATATGAAAGGACCTTTTTGATCTTCATGATATCTAAAACCCTTAGAACCATGAGGATCTTAGTATATCTTAACCTTGAGGGTCTTGAGGATCTGATTGTTTGTTGCGTTTTTTATAATTCTTTGAACTTTGAATTTTGTTAACATGATTCGTTCCCTAAGCATCGCTAGTACATTTGAAAACTAGAATATTTAATATCTTATAGGAATAAACGTTGTTATTAAGGATCCTCAGATCCTTTATAGTTTTGTATTGTCGTCCGCCCGTCCGTCCGTCCGTCCGCCCGTGTGCGCTCTAACTCTTTTTAAAAGTTGCCGATTGTGTTGAAATTTGGTGTACGGGTACTTTGGACATTAAGGACTGATGCTATTGATTTTCAGGAACCTGGTTCAACAGGAACAAAAGTTATAGGACTTCGAGTGAATCGGGAGCAGGAAAAACTGCGCGCTCAGTATAATAGAAATCAACATATTTCATTCTCTAGGTCATGTATCGAGTTCGGACTTTCGCTAGATTATTGCCTATAACTCTTAGATCTGTATGAATCCAATAGAACTCTTCTCTGTGGTACAGGTCAAAAGTTTTAGAGCAAAATGTACCCAAAATTATTTTTTACACATGAAATTGGAGTTTTAAAAGTTTTCCAACGCATTATCTTGATGCTGAAAGAGTACATCACGTGCACATTTGATAATCTCATGTGTGTGATTCAAAGATGTTAAATTATTTTTCTGGGATCACATGGATTTTGATCAAAACATGTCAAAATCGTTATTTATGCACCAAGAACGTTGGGAAAAAGACCAAGAGCATTATCTCAATCATCAAAACATGAATTTGATCTATTTTTGGCGACCACATGGATTTTGATCAAAACATTTCAAAATCGTTATTCTTGCACTGATATCGTTGGAAACATTATTAAGAGCATTATCCCAATGAAAAAGACATGAATGAAGATTAAAATAAATTGTCGTTAAAAGTGATTGTGATACTGAGGATCCTTCGATATTTAGTTGTATCGGTTTATTTTGATTATCTCTGAGATCTCAGTGGCCTTAGAATCATTAGAAGCTTCAAGATTTTTAGGATCTGTATTATTTTGCGAACTTTAGAATTTCCAGTATCATAAAGACCTTTAGAATTTTCAGGATCTTTAGGATTTTTATAATCTTTGTAGCTATATCATTCTGGTCTTTTGAAAATATCGATTATCAAAGATTTTAGGGCACCAACATTACTCGTTAAGCAAGTCTTAAACATAACGTCCAGAAAGTTTGATTATAATCCCCCAGTTTCGACTGAATAGCAATTCTCATTTACAGAAACGGGTAGATTAGTATTTCCAAATCTTTTTGCCCACACTCACATTATTTCTTTAGATGCCCGTATATTTCACTTTCGAGTATTCTCAAAAACTACACGCAAAGCGGCACTAAGCTCTTCCACTACACGCAACGCGGCCTCATTTTCCTAAACACCTTCGTTATGCAGCGAAGGAAAAAACGCAAACCATGTTGAGAGGACATTAATTTAAAGGGTCTTGTTTACCACGTTAGAAGTAATTTACATCAAAATGCTCTCTTCTCAGTTTCTTTTCTCGTGTTCTCCACTCCGCCCAAATTCGCGTAAGGGTGAGCTAAAAAAATACATCACGCGGCAAGGGCGAGGGATTGATAATGTAAATTTTAATGATCTCTTTTTACGAGTATTATTTTCGGGCCAAAAAAATTCAAATGTATGATGATGCGAATTAATGCGGCTCGTTTTCCCTTCAAAGGCAAATTTCGGCGGATGGTAATAGGCTTTTTTCCTTTAAATGCGGCCGCGTATGATTTATGGGCTTTTATTGACAACGCTCCTTGTTTACATTACAGAAATCGCTACATACATACGCCGGCGGCGCATAATCGCATCGGCAACGGACTCCATTAAACGGAAAATTAATGAATCCGAATGCCTCCGGACTGTGCGATAATTCCGCCCGGCGGGCGTAGGTACGTCAAAGGATTTAATTATTGAATTGACTTGGGTTCGTTTTATTTAAGAGGAAGTGAAGGGTAATCGATGTGTAGCGAGTCATTAAATCGGGGGTTGTTAATTAGACTTCCTGAAATTTATTAGGATACGCGCCACGCCTTTATCAGCTCGATGAAATATGCTTTCTTAAATTTCGGTGTCCTGAAGAAAGTCCAAATGGCGCCTTCGGCTTTATGCAACCATTAATAGGGAAAAATTAGTACTTTCAAAGTTCATTAATTGCGCTTCCATTAGCGGTCCTCAAAAATTCTGAAATAAACGAAAACGATAATAAAAAAATTGAGAGTTGACCCGTCTTCGGAAATAAACAGGGGCGGAGATCGTATTCACTAATTTACGATGTAATTGTACTAATGTAAGATATACAGGGTGAGTCAACGATTGCGCGGAGTAACTTAATGCCTTTAAGATAAGATTTTTCTATAGGGTGCTTCTGTATTATGATATGGTTGAATATTCTCCACATTTTAAAAATATTTGGAATTACACAGAGTGCGCCCACGAAGTAGGGCGCCCAAATAGTACATTTTTTTAAATAGAACCCCCTGTATTTGAATGCACTTTTGAATTCTACGTGTAATTGTACGTCTTGTTTATTATATGGTTAATATCCGAAAAGCTAGTAGTTTTAAAGATAACTTGACTTTAAGAAAAATTGGGCATTTGCAAGCGTCAGTATATTTTCAAAATCATTATTTAAATTTTGATTCCAGGTTTTATATCTTTTATCCTGGGTTAAGTAAATCTATACTATGAAACATTAAAAATATAGCTTACGGGGTGTTTTTTTCTAGATCCAAAGTTGCAAAACTTCATATTAAAAAATCTCACTTTTTAAATGGACCACCCTGTATATTTTTCTGTCATCATTTAGCTCCTCCAAAAACCTTCAACTCTTGATAATAATGTCCCATTTACCTATCTCTGGTAGTTTTCGAAATATCTTGGGTTTCCTGGGTTTTATATTCTAATCTTAAATAAGTTATATGTAATTTACATAATAGTGAGGTGGCCATGCAAAAGAAGGCAATTTTTATCTATCTCGTCCAAAACGAAAATCAAATTTATTAATTTATTTTTCAAGGAATTTATTTTAAGTCCAAAAACTGGAGAATAAGTAAAAACATTTGACTACAAAGCAAATTTAATTTAACTCCTAATGGTTCATCCAGTCAGTGTTTAATTTTTTTATTATGCAAATTTAAACTTACTTAGATTAAAATATAAAAAGTAGAAAAACCAAGATATTTGTTTATGTTTTTACTATCATATTTATTCTCCGGTTTTTATAGACTTAAATGAATTATTAGAAAAATGGATTAATAAATATAATTTTAGCTTTGAACGAGGCAGATAAAAATTGTCTTTTTTTTGCATGGTCACCTCGCTATTATGTAAATTACATATAACCTATTTAAGATTAGAATATGAAAATCAGGATAACCAAGATGTTTCGAAGAGTATCAGAGATAGGTATAGGACATTATTATCAAAAGTTGAAGGTTTTTGGAGGAGCTAAAAGATGACAGAAAAATATACAGGGTGTTCCATTTAAAAAAGTGAGATTTATTAATATGAACTTTTGTAACTTTGGATCTAGAAAAAAACACCCTGTGTACAAAACTTTAAATTTATTTGGTTTTCCCTTGCCTTGCGCAGTTCAATTTATTTTATTTTTGTGGAAAGAGAATGTGGATTGTATGATTTTGATTTGTAATCTTCGAACAATAAAACACGTATTTGAACCAGCAAAACACCCTGTATGCTATTGTTTTAGTTTTATAGTAGATGTATTTATTTGACTGGTACTTAACCCGTGATAAAAGGTATAAGACTTACCTGAAATCAAAATTTAAGTAATAATTTTGACAATATACTTATCTGACGCTTGCAAATGCCCAATTTTATTAAAAAATCGAATGTATTCAAATACAGGGGATTCTATTAAAAAAAATGTGCCATTTGGGCACCCTACTTTGTGGGCGCACCCTGTATAATACCAAATATTTTTAAAATGTGGAGAATATTCAACCATATCATAATACAAAAGCACTCTATCTTCAAGGCATTAAGTTACTCCGCGTAATCGTTGACTCACCCTGTACAATGGTATAGGGTTACAAAGGGGTGTAAAGAAATCGAGTGGTAGAATGCGCCAAATAAATCATTTTTTGCGTTTTTGTGTCAATGGTTTCCGGATGTGCCACTGGTCAGGTAATTGCGCGAAAGAACACGGCGTTTGTCTGGCTGGAGATAGTCCAGCATTAATAGGTTATACGTGTCAGTTGCAGCCGTTTCGTGGTTCAGACCGAGAACCGCTTACGCTAAGGCTTCTGGCAGAATGTCAATTCGCGGGATAGGTATAACAAATAAAGATGGCCGCCGAAACCGATTAGCAACAATTTTGAAGGCGGGTTAGTAAAATTGGGGAAAGTAGGGATTCAGCAGGAAAATGGATTCAGCGAAGGCGTGACGACAGTAAATTATGTTCAGCGATGGACCGGGAACGTGTTGGGTGCGCGATTAGTATTAAGTGTGACCAGAAAATTAAATTTGGTGTTTAGCCCCGGAAGCGTTAAGTTCGAGCTTTCGAGTGGATGTTAATTAAAGGAGGAAATCGAATGCACAACTTTGCATTTGGATTAAAGATGGCTACAGGAAATAAATTGGAAACTGTCGACCGCGTAATTAATTGACATATCGGGTAAATAGGAACGTAGACTGCATTTATAAATTATGACGTAACCGGCCCGTGTTTCGGAAATTGAGCTAGTCACCTGTTAATTTTGAGAAAGAAATCTTACATTACGATAAAAGGTCAGAATTTAGTAATACAATCAAGCCAATGGCAACCCTGTAAAAAATTTAATTACAATTTTATTCTGATGTGCCCGCAAAGGAATAGGTCGGCGACCAAGGCGGACATTTCTTACGTAAGCACTTTTTACGAGATGGCGCTGCTTACCGAAGTAGACGGCGCGATTTAAGTAGTTCGGTAATTAGAAAATTCTTAATTATTGTTCGGGAAGTTTTCTTGTTACCAGTGGCAGCTTTGAAAACTTTAAATTAAAAGGGTTTCGAGAGTTTAGATTTTTTAAAGTTAAGATTGCAATTTATTAATTACTAGCAGTGGCGGCGCGGAAAAGAGGTTTTGGAATTTTCTTGGACGATAGGATTGGAATTTTTGAAATTTTGTTTTAATTTAGGGGGATGCCAAGGCTAGTTGTTTTGGAATTACGATCAGGGTTTAAACAGCCTTCTAAAAAAAGAAGTAATATACAAGAAGAGCTTTAATTTCTAGTTAACCAGATGATGTCCTAAGAAGCCCAAGACATTTTTGGAAGTTACGAAATGCAGGGAAATAATTTTGGAGGAGGCGGAGTCACGAAATGTGACCAACCGAGAGTAGGTTAAGAAAAAGCGAGCGATGCTAATGAAAACAACATGTCGAAGACGCAAGTCAGCAATTTTCAAGGAGAAATCCAGCAATTTATTGGCAAACATGATGGAGACGTTCATCATTTCATCAAAGTCTTGCAGAAATTATTTAAGATAAGAAAACTGCAATTATGTGGACCACGTTTAGTATTGGGTCTGCGAGACGGCACACCTGGAGCTCTCCATGCGGCATGAAGGGCAGCTGATGCGTGCCACCACCCCACATTTCCCACGAGAAGTGGAACACATTTTCATTGGAGCAGCTGAGACTGAACAAGGGCTAATACGGGCGGTGGGCAACTACAACCGCGAAGAGCAGGCAACAAGGAGCGTGACTGGGGTCAAATTCGGCTACCAACCAAGAGATATAAGAGGATGCTAAATTAGGAGCTCTTCTACCTCTATACGACCTAAGAGAAGAGTCGGAGATAGCACCATTTTGCGATGTGCATTTGTGAAAGAAAATCTGAGGGCCGAACTTTCTTGTTCAAGTAATTTGTTTCAATCGATCGACTGTGCGTGGAACTTTCTTCGCAGGCCCTGAGTGCCTTTCTTTATTTCCGGATTATTAATTGAACTTTGTCCATTAAATTTATGTGTGTGTGTGTGTGCTGTGTTTAATTGAATCCAGATTACGACTCAGTTCTCATGATAAATTTACTGTACCCAGGGTTATATCAGGTGTCTAAATAATAATTATAAATTCAATTGTTTGGAATTGTGGGGAGCTGGCCAAGGCTGCTGATAGGATAAGTATGGCGCTGCTTGCCTGAGATTAAGATTTTTCCTCCGTACTTCAAGGATTGTGTAAGTATACCGACCGAAACTTCTCGTTCAAACCTTTCATTTCTCGTTTGAGAGTACCCTCTTCCGACACTGAGCCGCTTTGGACAAAATTTGATTTGTAGGTTTTGATCCCAGCAGCAGAAACGTCTCGTCCAGGTTTTTCTATATCCACTTTGGTATTACTTCCCTTCGATGCATCGTTTCTGAGATATCTGAATGTTTAACCCCATCGACGGATACATAGATTAAGCTTCCTCTATTTAATAAACGTCCGTGCTTAATCTTCCTACATTTTCCTTTTTTGCCAATAGGTCAACCTTTGAAATAAAAGAAATGCATATTTAAACTCTCCACAAAAAGACCCATCAACAGCAAGTCAGCCGCAACCCTAACGCTGGTGTCCTTAGCTACAGCTTTGAGTTTTCAGCGTCAGATAAGGGCCGATGTATGCCAATTTCTCTCCTGGCACACCTAGTGACTAGGACGTATGGGTGCCCGAGCGCTGTCTTTCTAAGTTCAATATCCATTCCTTAAGAACAGCATAAGACGCTCAGCCATGCTAGAAACGCTCACTTTTCGCCTTTATTGCTTTATTCTTATAACTGAATTCCGTTTATGTCCATCATAGATTATTAGTTTATGTGTATAAGATCGTAAGATAACGACTTTGTTTTCTTAAAAAAAGACCTTAAAAAAGGCCTTTGAGAAATTCTCCGAAATATTGCATTTTTCCTTTGTAGATACCTTCCTCCGACACTCCCTTCTGTGGATATGTCTCACAATTCATTTTGCCTTTGCGGGTACTTTTCCTCCAAGCCTTTTTCCAGATACTCGCTGTCAAACTTTTAGTTGACAGAAAACAGTTCCTTTTGTTGAGACCTTTAATTAGAATATCATGAAAGGTAAAATTATAAAATTTATCAATTTTTTTAGCGCATTGTTTAAGAATTAAAAAAAATGTGCTATTGTTTGCGTTTTGTCCGTCCGTCCGTCCGTCAGAACCCACTTCTGCCGTTTTGAATTACTTCTAGGGGAATGGTCCTAGAGTCCTGGAATTTGCAAGCGTGAGTATATGTAAAAATTATTAGTTAAATTTTGTTTCCAGGTTTTATATCTTTTATCCTGGGTTAAGTAAAGGTCAAATAAATACATCTACTATGAAAGATAGAACGTATGTTCACCTCCAGCCCCCCACTCATTTTCAAAAATTTTCCGTAAAATTTCCCCTAAAAATAGTTCAAAACAAGGACAGACGGACGCACACTTTTTTTTACTCTTAAAAAATGCGCTAAAAAGAGAAAATGGTGTGTTTCTATTTAAAAAAACCAAGTGGACGCCAACTTCCGGTATTTACGGAAGCGGCGCCATCTTAAAATAATTACACGTTAGTAAGGGAGATGTTGCATTGAGGTAAAAAATACCCCTCCCCCTCCCTTTTTTTACGGAAATGCACGTTTTGAAGCATTAGGAATCCGAATCAAAGAATCTCGGTCAGTCTGTCGGTCTATCGGTCTGCCTGTCTGTCTGTCTGTGCGCCTGTACTCTCATTTCCGGTCAAATGGCTGAACCGATTGGAACCAAATCTGGTACACATATTCTTGGACATAAAAGATAGAACTGAAAAGAGTTTGGACAGAAAGCGCAGGTGTGCGGGGGATATTCGTGCTAGCCACAGAAAGCGCATTTTTTAAGAATTAAAAAAAATGTGCTATTGTTTTCGTTTTGTCCGTCCGTCCGTCCGACCGGACCCACTTCTGCCGTTTTGAACTACTTTTAGGGGAATGGTCCTAGAGCCCTGGAATTTTTGGCAGTAGGTAGTCTATACCTTGAAGGTGTGCCAGACGTTCGCCAAATTTCGCTGTCTAAAAGCCCCCCCCCCCCCTACGAATTATTTCCTGAGATGCTGTTTTCGAAAGTAAAACGTGCATAACTTTCACATACGACAACCAATTGGTCTCTGATTTTGCATACGCATGCCTTTAGTGGTGCCAAGTTAAACTTCAGAAAATGGGGGGGGGGGGGGGGGGGTTAACACCATAAATTGGTTTGTAGAAACAATAACTTTCCCGTGCGACTCTTTTTCGAGATTAGTGAGCGACGGGGCCTGAGGAGGAGGGGGAGGCTAAAAATGGATTTTATCTCTCATTGTATTCTAATTAAAGGTCTCAACGAAAGGAACCGTTTTCTACCATCTACTGCCCTTCTTTCTGCCCTCTTATCAATGTACGGGATGGAGAGGAATGGGGAGGGGGGAGTGGAACTAGTTTTATCCTTCATGGTACTCCAATGAAAGGTCTCAACGAAAGGAATTAATTTCTACCAACCATAGCCCTCCTCCTCGACCTCTTATCGTCATCGGGTATATTCCCTTATACCTCAAGAACGGATTGTCGGAACAGGGTACTCACAAAGGGCGATTGAGACGTCTGCAAGAAATATATCCATTGGTGATGCCAAAACAAAAGCTATTTCGGTTAAAAAAATGCGCTTTATCTGTACAAGAGTTGTACACAATTTACACTTGTTTTTCATTGGACAGAGTAATTGTCTAAATTTTGCTTCTAGGTAGAAGGCTCGAGAGCTTTGATAAGATTAATTAGTTTAAGGGACAACCTGCCGTTAATTAGATCCAAAATAATTAGGTTGAAAACATCGAGAGGGGCACAGTAACGGGAACCCGTTGACGGAATTATTGGATTCGTATTTTGCCTCATATTTCTCCTTTTAAAAAAACTTTTTTGCAAATTATTATTATTTTAAATCATTTCGAGGAGATGCTGAGTTTGTAACTATCCGTCATAACCAAACATTGCTGCAGTAGTTGCATAAACCAAAATATGCGAAAACGAAAAACATATTTAACTCGTGGTTAAAGGGAAATAAGTACGCATTGAACCAAAATGGTTTTGAATACAAACGATCCCAGTTTTTATGTGAGACATTTAAATATTGCTATCTAAACCAGGGGAGTGGGAGGTACGACCCTTTAAGTTAAAATAAGGTCGACAATAAGGGTTGGTTTGGCAAAGAATGAGTAGCGTAATTTTCAGTTAGTTATGGAAATGGCAAGCGGGGCACCCTCTATTTAACGTTATTGAAAAAGTCTGGTGGAATTTTGGAATCGACACGTAATTTTATCGGTAGTTTTGCTCCTAAGACCTACAAATTAAAAAAAACCATTTGGGTAAAGGAATTATTGCATCTTTTTGTGAATTATTTAGCGGAAGTTTGATAAGAGGACTTTATCAAAGTAAAATTTAATTGATTTAGATAAACGATGGCACATGTGCAAAGTTGTAGATGAGGAAGTGCGATGTAAATAAGTGCTCGCATTTCGTCGGCCAGTTGGTGTATTTTTTTGCATCCGAATGAAGGGACATCGCAATATGCTTGTTTCACTTAATTAAAATGATGCATGAAGCATTATAATTTTAATTCTACATTTAAATTGAACGAATTATGTTCGTTGAGCAAGTTTTACTGTTTGTTTATGTATTCGTTTGTTAATTTGTATTGTTAAACTTTCGTTATACATCATTTTGATGTTTTTTTAACATACATGTTTAATGTCTCATATAAAAACAAGAAACATAATAGATGGAGTAATCTAATTAACCGTGTTTTATAATGTAACATTGTAAACTTTCGTAATAAAAAGTAAAACGGCGTTGCATAGATTCGGGTTTCCTCTGCTCTGGCTATAAAATCATGTAGTGAAAACTAAAAAATAAAAGAAATAGTTGGATGCCATGGACAAAGGGCGGTGTTCTACAGTGGGTTGATAAATTGTTTGACATCTCACAGTTTACTTTTCTCTTTTTATCTTTCATTTACTTTTGATCCCTCCGCGAGAAAAAGTGACTTCGGCCTCTCAAGACTAAGACCGCGAGAAATGTTCTTTTGTTGGCTCCCAATTGAAATATTCAGAAAAAAAAACTTTCCGCAACTTGATTTACCTAGTTGTGCATATTGTCGGCAAAAAATACAACATAACAATTTCATGCGTTTGGCAGACGCTTCGGAAAAGTCACAGGGTTGACTGACTTTCACTTTGTCAATAGCGATCAGTTTAAAACGAATTTTCTTTTTATCAAAAAGTTACATGAAAATGCAAAAGAAAGCAAAAGTTAAACTTACCCGACGTAAATCTCGAGATCTTCGCGCTCCGGGCAGGCAAACGTTCATAACCGTCCGACGGGCGCGTTTTAACTAAAGTTTCGCGACGCGCGGCGTCGTCGAAACGAGGCGCCGCGACGACGCGCGCAAAGGCGACGTTCGACAACGTGTTCGCGCGCGCTCACGTGGAAATGAGATTTGCGTGTGCGAATAAACAAACGGCACTAATCCGATACGTGGGGCTTTTTTTTCTGTCATCCCCTAAAGCTTGCCATACAAAAAACGTGGGATTTACCCGATTATTCCGCAAGTATAAATAGTCTATATTGCTGACTATTATGATTCCAAAATGGGTAGTCATAACCGTCCACTTTGATAATGTCTCTTTATATGTGACGTGATGGCCCCTAAAGCTACGAATTCGCTGGTTCGTTTTTTTTTTCATTTAATTTATGCCTCTAACGGTATCTTAGAAAATTCTCTCGGTACGTTTTTTCTAGATAGTTTTTAGTGACTACGATGTTTATCGGCTTGTCAGCGGGTTCCATTTATTTCAAAATATGTCCAATTTTTGCTTATCGATTTTAAACCCGCCTGTGTGGAGAATCATTTTATTTCGTCTGTGATTTTACGGTCCGCCCCTCTTAAACCATGCCCAATGCAAACAGACATTCCATGTTGTTTCCTGGACACCAATGGTAATTGGAGCATACGTCCAATGGACGTAAATTGCAATTATTTTATGAACCACCTGTTAAATATTCCATAAGAGGGAATCATCGGACGTCCATTGTACGTACACTTTGACTACATGGACGTCGTAACCTAAAATGGACCAAATATGGACGTCCATTGAAAGGAGTGTGTTGTATGAGGAACTTCTAAAACGTCCCAGAGATTTAGAGAATTTAGATAGTCCGGAAGATAAAGTTCAGAAGATCTAGAAAGCGCAGTTCAGTTGATCCAGAAGGTAGGGTCGGATCAAAAAGATCTAGAAGATCCAGACGATTCACATAAATTTCGTTGTTAGAGAATATAAGATCTAAACGATTCAGATGATCCAGAAGAGCCAGAAGATCGAAGAACCAAAAGAGCAAAAAGAAAATTGGAATACGCAGAAAATTCAAAATATCTAGAATATGAAACGAATCCAAAAGACAGCGAAGACGATTGCAGAAATGCTAGACGGTCTAAAAGATCCAGAAGATGCAAACGATCCAGAAAATGTGATCCAGAAAATCCAATGCGCTCAGGAGAGCCATAATAAGGCATAAGGTAGTTAGAATGGTCAGAGCATCGAAATGATTCAGAAAATCCGAAAGGTCTAGAAGATCCAGAAGATCCAGAAGATTCGGAAGATCTAGAAGGTCTATCAGATGAAAAGGATCTAGAAGAATTGCGAAAATAAAAGGTAGAAAATCGAGAAGATCTAATTACCTTCGGAGGATCCAGATAATTCAAAATATAAGATTTACAAGATCCAGAAGGAGATTCAGAGAATTTAAAATATCCCGACGATTAAAAAAATCGAAATTATTCAGAAGATAAGTTAAGATAAAAAAAACGAATTACAGCATCCAAAGGACGCAGAAGATCAAAAGTACCAGTAGAACTAAAAAATCTAGACGATCCAAAGAATCTATAGGATGTGGAATATACAAGGGAATTTAGAAGATTGAAAACAACCGAGAAAGTCCAGTGGATCCAGATGACCAAGAGGATTCAGAGGGTCTCGAAGAGCTAGAAGAGATTCAAAGGATACAACATATTGGGAAGATCCTGGAAATTCACATATTAAACCAGACCCAGCAGACCCAAAAGATTCAGAAGATCCAGAGTTTCTGATGAATCAGGAAATACGTACTGTCTAAAAGATCTGGCAGAAGATCCAAAAGGTGTATGTGATTGAGAAAATTCAGAAGATCCAGACGATTCAGAAGATCCAATGATTCAAAAAGTCTAAAAGGTACAATATCCAAAACGATAAGGAGATTAAGAAAAAGAGGGTCTAGAAGATCGCGAAAAGTCAAGAGAAGCAAGAGAGCTAGAAGGGGTAGGTGATGTGCAGGATTCGAAGGTTCCGGACGAAAATTGGATCCAGGAGATCCAGAAGATCCAGAAGATACAGAAGATACAGAAGATACAGAAGATACAGAAGCTACAGAATATACAGAAGATACAAAAGATACAGAAGATCCAGAAGATCCAGAAGATCTAGAAGATACAGAAGATCTAAAAGATCCAGAAGATCAAGAAATCCAGAAGATCCAGAAGATTCAGAAGATCCAGAAGATCCAGAAGATCCAGAAGACCCCGAAGCTCTAGAAAATACAGAGGGTGCAGAAGATGCAGAAGATCTAGAAAATCCAGAAGATCCAAACATCCAGAAGATCCAGAAGATACAGAAGATCCAGAGGATCCAGACGGTCCAGAGGATCTAGAAGATACTGACGATACAGAAGATCCAGAAGATCTAGAAGTTCCAGAAGATCCAGAAATCTAGAAGATCCAGAAGATCCAGAAGATCCAGAAGATCCAGAAGATCCAGAAAATCTAGAAGATCCAGAAGATCCAGAAGGTCCAGAAGATCCAGAAGATCCAGAGGATCCAGAAGATCAAGAAGATCCAGAGGATCTAGAAAATACAGAAGATCCAGAAGGTGCAGAAGATCAAGAAGATCCAGAAAATCCTGAAAATCCAGAAGGTCCAGAAGGTTCAGGAGATACAGAAGATCCAGGAGAACTAGATGGTCCAGAAGAACCAGACGATCCAGAAGATCTAGAAGATCACGAAAAGTCAGAAGATCCAATAGATCGCGATGATCCAGATCTAAAAAATCCAAAAGATCCACATAATGTAGAAGATCCATAAGATGGAAAGGATCTAGAAGATCTAAAGAGTCCGGAAATCTAGAAAGTCTAAAGGAACCGGGAGAGCCTGGGAATCCAGAAGAGAGCCAGAAAGATTAAAAAACTGTACACGATCCACAGATTATATAGGATTCGAGAAGAGCCGAGAAGATGCAGTAGATCAAGGTTCAAAGGATCGAGGGGATCCAGAGGAACTAGAGAATCAAAATGATGACGAGTATTGGAAAGATCCAAAAAATGCAAAAGATCCAGAAAATCCAACAAATTCTGAAGATCAAAAGGTACAGGTGATAGAAAATACGAAGAAAGTGAAGAAGGTGTAGAACGGTCAGTATATCCAGGAGTTCCAGTGAACGCAAAGAATGCAAAAACCGAGTGAAATGAAGATCACGAATGTGCGGCTGATTCAAAAGATTCCGAAGAATGAGAAAACCTGGGAAGTCTTAAAAGGGGACCCGTAAGAGGCAGAATGGCCAGGAAGGAATCGGAAGTTTCGAAAATTAAAAAAGATCAGGGCTCTAAGGGATACAAGAGATTCAAGTGATTACAGTGATACAAGTAGTTCGGCTGTTTCAACCGATTCAGGTGATTGGGGTGATCCGAGTTTCAGGTGATTCAAGTGATTCAGGTGATTGAGGTGTTTCAGGTGATTCAGAAGATTCAGGTAGTTGAAGTGATTCAAAGGATTCAGGTGATTTAGTTGATTCAGGTGGTTCAGGTTATTCAGATGATTCAGGCGATCCAGTTGGCCTCGTTGAATCAAGGAACTCATATGATTCAGGTGGTTCAGGTAATGCAAGCGATTCAGGTGATTGGCGTAATTTAAATAAATCGGGTTTCAGGCGATTCAGGTGATTCAGCTGATTCATCTGATTTGTGTGATTTAGGTGATTGATGGATTCAAGTTCAAGTGATTGAAGGGATTCAGGTGATTCAGAGTATTCAGGTAATTCAGGCGACTCAGATGATTCAAGCGATTCAGGTGGTTCCGTTGATTCAAGCGATTCAAGCAATTCAGGTAGTGTAGGTAATTAGGCGGTTCATGTGATTGATATGATTTGAGTGAATCGGGTTTCAGGTGATTCAGGTGATCCGGGCGATTCAAGTAGGTAGGTTCAGGTTATTGAGATGATTCAGGCGATTCAGATGGTTCCGTTGATTCAAGGGATTCAAGCAATACAGGTGGTTTAGGTAATTAGGCGATGCAGGTGGGGATGATTCGGGTTTCAGGTGATTCAAGTGATTCATCCGATTGAAGCTATTCAGGCATGATTCAAATGTTTTAAGTGATTCAAGATATTCAAAAAATTAAAAGTGCCTAAATATTTAAAAATTTCAAAAAACTAGAAGATTCGGCATTCAAATTTAGCTATTCGTGAGATTCAAACGATCCAACAGATTACAGAAATTAAAAAAAATCGAAAAGACTCAAAGAATCCAGACATCTATAAGATATAAATCTTTCAAAAAATCTAAAGATCCAAAAGACCTAAAAAGTCCAAGAGGTGTAATTTCTAGAGTTTTGAAACGTGAAGCTTTGTATCTGAATCTTGGAGATATAAGCTTGCATTTCTTAAATTGCGGGAATTATATGGTCAGAACCAACTGAATTAGTCACGATGTTTCAGTTGAGTCTGAAGGGTAAAGATTAAAGTTTATATCTTCAAGGAATTCCGCGTGAGCCGCAATTTTTATGTAGATGAATGATTTTGACGTTTGAATTTCGAAATATATTCTAGTTCATGAAAGTCGAAGCCTTTAAGGCGTACAAGTTTAGCCCTTAAAGCTTAGTATTAAAGGTTGATTCTTTAGTAACTTGTTGCTTGAAGATTTTATGATGTCAATTACGAAGTTCGTTGCTTAACCCCTGAGATTTTAACATTCCAACCTTTCACCACTAGGTGGATAATTTCGAAGTGAAACTGGATGTCCATGACGTGACATCAGCTTCGAATAATAATTTCAGCAGAAGGACTGTAATTTTTTTGTTATTTACTCATTAGCACAAATTTATTAAAATATCGCAGGAAAGCGACAAACTTGAGATGCAAATTCAATTTGCAAACAAAGGTTTCCTAAACGACTTTATTCACAAGCGCCAGCGGTAATTTTAATGAATTTTGCACGACGAATTAAAATATCAAATACCTTACGGCCATCATCCAAATTGAACACCCGAGGTATAGATTCGAACAAGAATTGCACACTTTAAAATTGATTGAAAGTTACTCACAAACTTTTTCATTAATTTCTTCCTTTTGTGTTTTAATTTCTTTCCTGGCCCAGTCAATTTTGACTTCCTGCAGAAACACGAGTCTGATACACTTTGCCGAAAGTTTGAGGGCGCCAGTATGAAATCATAAACCCCTAACGTATTTTTTTTTTGTTTAAAGCGGAAAGTTTAACTCGGATAATCCAATCTCCCGTTTTGCTAAAAATTGTCTATTTAAGACAATGGCGATCGCCGCCGCCGCCGCCGGTGTGAGTGACCGAAAATATTGACAAACAAAGCTTTTAAGCTAAACTGCACGATGCGATCGTCTCAGTCTTTTGTCGAGGTCCTTATCTGTCGATATAAATTTTGATTGCCCGCCGATGAGATGCCGCGTAATCCGTGGGGGCTTAAGATGAGAACGATAAGATTAGTAATGAGAAAATTTATTGTGATAGTAAATTGTCGCAAAAAATAAGGGAGGAAATCTAAAAATGTTACAGTGATTTATCACTGTGACGCGTTGTGGGGAATTTAAATCTTTGTATTTGAAGGATGCGTGAATTTATTTATGGAGGTTAGCATTTTCGCGGATATTAAGTTTTTTTGTGGGGGTAGAAATGTCTGACGGCGACTTAATGTCGTGGCGTAGATTTGAAGCCTTTATAAGGGAGGTTTTTTGAATTTCTTGAGTTTCTAGGATTTTTTATTAGAGCGGGAGGAAACAGCAACGCAACGGAGAGGAAACGGAAAGGAAATGGAAAGGAAACGGAAAGGAAACGGAAAAGAAACGGAAAGGAAACGGAAAGGAAACGGAAAGGAAACGGAAAGGAAACGGAAAGGAAACGGAAAGGAAACGGAAAGGAAACGGAAAGGAAACGGAAAGGAAACGGAAAGGAAACGGAAAGGAAACGGAAAGGAAACGGAAAGGAAACGGAAAGGAAACGGAAAGGAAACGGAAAGGAAACGGAAAGGAAACGGAAAGGAAACGGAAAGGAAACGGAAAGGAAACGGAAAGGAAACGGAAAGGAAACGGAAAGGAAACGGAAAGGAAACGGAAAGGAAACGGAAAGGAAACGGAAAGGAAACGTGATGCGTGATACTGGGTTCAGTGTCGATAACGGTGACCCTTTTCCTGGCCTTTACGCTCTGCCCAGGTGAGACCTCATCTCCGCACTACTCGTGGTAATCGTATAGACGATCACTCAAACAAAACCGCTCTAAGCTCCTCGTCAGAGGGGACCAACATGCTGGGACCTCAAAAGGGGTCCGGTAACATGGCAGGCTCTTCGAAATAGGAGACGGCTCCAACGCCAAAACCTGGTGGTGAGCCAGTTCCTATTCGCAAGGAGAATATGACTGGCGTCCAGAAGGCGATGGCCAGGAAGCGCCGGCTTGAGGGTAAAACCTCGGGTCAAGCGGATTCTGCGACAAATCCTAAGACTGTGTCTAAGTCGTTGGCTCAGGGGAGGGCAACCTGACGTCAGAGACCAAGCGTCTCAGATCGGAAAGAAGCACTCCAGGGCAGCTTGAGAAGAAGCCTAGAGTTTTTGAAGCACCAAAGTTACGCGTGCCCTACGAAGCTATGGGCAAGTCGCTGCGGCGCGGCTCACGGTGCCCATCGTTCAGGTATCACACCCGGAGCCTCAGTCGATGTGCATTATGGCTGCATTGAATGCAGTTGTCGACGGGGTGGAGGGGGGGAGGCTTTCTTCGGCTGGCAGAATCCGCAGGGTGCCTTTGTGACTAAATGCGAGGTCCAGCGGACCTTTGTCTGATTGGAGAAGACCGCCCCTTTTATTAGGCCCTGGGATGGCGCGTCTTTGAAAGTGCACAAGCACGTCCCTAGGGTCCCAAGGTGTTGGATGTGTTATACGGGCTTCCGGATGCCACCATCTTGAAGCGCCTCCAGAAGAAAAATCCTGGTTTCATAGCGAGCCTATGGAGGACGCAGGGAGGAGCTTGGTGAGGCATGCTATCAAACATTCCAGAGGTGGAACCTTCAGGCATACGTGGAAGCCTCGCGCGTCATTTTTGTGAAGAAAGCGAGTGCTCCGGTGTCAGTGCAGGAGAGGGCGCCTTCCCGCGTTATCACCTCGAAGAGGTGTCGGACGGAGATGAGCTCATCGGTTACTAGAGGGAGGGGTGGGGTGTTATCTCCACTGCAGGCTGTGGTGCCTGGTATTAGACTAGGACGGTCTTATTAACCTTATGGAGACCTTGTTCTTGCACTATAAACAGAACGGAACGAAACTTTTAGATTCCCAGAGATTGTGGCAACCGCGCCCGTTTTCCGCAAACTTTTCTTGTTATCGATTGTTGTCGTCAGATATACTTTCGTTCATGTTCGCTATGAAGCGGTACAATGTTGACAAAAATACAAATTTAATTTTCAAACGGCCGAGCGACCCCTATTACAAGAGATATCCATCCCCGTGATGTGTCACTAACGTTAAACTTAACGTGCAGGTTATCGGTGTTAGGTAGTAAGGGTAAAATAACGGTTTTTGGGCAGATAACCTGCACGTTTTTGACGGATTGTATTATAAAACTTGCAACGTTTGGAGCTAACGTGATATCTTTGGTACAATGTGGGCAAGGTTCCTGAAGGCATTTCAAGGGATTCAAAGGTTTCTAGACACATTCAAAAGTCCTAAAGGATACTCTACCTTATGTAAAACTTCTCAATATTCTATAATGGAATCATAAAGTCGCGAAAGCGCTCTTTTGAAAGTGTAAAGGGCATTTAAAGGTTTTAAAGGATTCCTGCTCAACGTGAAGTCCTAAAGGCGCCCAAAAGTTTCCAAAAGTTATTAGTAGGGTTATCGGACCTAGAGCTGGGCGATCCGGAACTGGTTTTTAATGTGACATTAAGTGTAGGTCCGAAATCAGAGATGGACCCATCAATACATGAGGAGATGTACGCAACCCTTGAGAGTTTGCAGTTATGAATCTTGTACATCCTCCTTTCACTGAATTCGCGCCATAGAAGCTTCTACACCCTCAGCATTAGGTAAGGTTAGGTGAATGGAGGGTGTGGCCAGGGGAGGTTTGTTTGGTGGCGTCTAGGGAAGCGATTATGGAGGCGCTGCAAAATTCTGATGTGCCGGTATACTTGCAGTGGCTGATCCGTTATTACCTCACGGGATGAATAGTGGTCCACGAATTTGAGGCTAGTGCGGAATTGCCAAAAGGGTCCGTTCTGGGGCCGTCTCTGTGGGTGGTTATGTTCGATGGAGTGCTGAGGCTTCCACAAGAAGAAGGGGTGGAGATGATCGGTTTCGACGAGGACCTCACCTTAATAGTGAGGAGGCAAGAGGCCGCAGAGGCGATGAGGTGAGCTATCGGACGCAGTAGGGGATGGATGGAGAAGAGATGAGATGAACATGGAAGCGAAGGGTCCTGGAATCGGACGATGCTGACATTTAGAGCTCGGCCATGAGGTGGGGGGGTAACCAGAAAAAGAGTGACTCCAGCATATTGGCTGTGCGAAAAGGCTGCAGGCACCGGACCGTCCAGACGGACGATTTTATTTTAATCACTGGGTTTATTTCCATCGAGATTGCTCCACGAACGAAAGAACAAAACTGGGTCCCACAAAAAGCCAAGGAAAAATGGCTTATATCCGGTGTTAGTGAATGGGTGGACAGATCAGACGGGGAAGTAAACTACCATTAGACCCAATTCTTGTCGGGACATGGGGAAAATGGGCGGTATCTCCATAGAATTTGGAAAAGATTTGACATCAACTGCCTGGAATGCGGGACCAGACCAGAATACTTTATTTTGTTGATGGTGAGCTCGCTGTCAGGATGGAGGAAGAGAGAGAGAGCTGGCGAAGTGGACACGCTAAAAAGAGAATAAGCCGGGCCAACTTCTAGGCGCCAACCACCTGCGGCGACAATGCATGGGTGTGAAAAATGCCCAAGGGCGATACTCAGCCATACACCCTATATATTGAAGGGAAGGGATGTTTATATTTTGACAACCCTTCCAGCTATCGTAACTATTAAAGTATATATAACGTTTACAAATAATTTTTTAAACCTCAATTCGTATCCGGGAAGGTTTATCTACTACTAGCTCGCTATAGTTCGCGAACATTTCCATTCCGAGTACTGCATGAAGCCAGGATCTTAAAAGTGTTGGTAAAGTCTTTAGTGGCACTTGAAATATTTAAGCCAATAATTTCCAAGAGCGCGCAATGGTGCTTTGTACGTATCTTCTACTAGTATCGCTCTTAGTCTTCTTATTGCCCTTTTACTTGAAATTTTAGTGTTTTCCCGTTCTAACAGAACAACATTAAGCTGTTAATTTTTAACCAAAAGGATATTTCCAATGTGCGGATAAAACTAGAATTTGCTGAACTTCATCGCGTATTTTATAGTAGATATCTTGAGCATTTTTTTGGTTAATCAACAGTTTGCCAAATAATCTCTACGGCTCGGCTATGGGGTATCATGTGTGTTGCTCTTATTACATCGTTCAGCCGTATACATTATTTCGTTTATATTAGTAATGGACTATTCGGAAACTATGCCCTATTCTTTTTAGGGGTTTGCTTAATAGACCACTAATTACACACACAGGCGTAAACGTGCGTGTAGACAAGGGAAAAACACGCCCACACCTATGTCAATTCATGCTGTAAAAAAAGATTTTCATTTTCAGTTTCCACGGCGGTCGCATAGATGTCGCCAGCATACTGATTTTGCTGCTCGTTTTAACTTAAAGGTGATGAGCTACCTTTACGTACCTTCTTTAAGCTGGGCTGTAATTACAATGCGATAATATGCCAGGGTCACAAAAAAACCTACTCCAATCAGAGTACTCATTAAGCAGGATCATAGACCAGAAACAAGGTGTTTTTTCATTGGCGCAATTTAAAATTGCATTTTTGACTGTAAGTAAGTGCAAAGACAACTGAAAGCACGTAGATCTTGTTGCAAAAGTTTAAATTTATAACCAAGCACACGTTGGCACCTGACGAGGCGCGATGGTGTTAATTAATTTGAGAGAAAGTTTTTGCTAATTACTTCCTTGTATCAGTTACCAACCGAGATTCAATTTCGACGCCACCTTAAATTCTAATCAGCTGAAAAGAAAAGGGGAATTGAAAGGCATCGCTACTTTATCGTCTCATTTTACAATTCCTTAAAAGCTGCCGAAACGTGCGACGGAACCGTAAAGAAGATACCTAATGAACCCCTAACAGCCGCCATAATACAGTCGGCACGGTGCTAAAAGGGATATTCATGGAATGTGAGGTGTGAAGGCGGCATTTCTAGAATATCTCAGCCCTTATCGGAGCAGGCACTCAAACAAATTTTGTCCCGCTCGTTCGGCGTACCTATTTTATGCTCGCTAACGACTTTACTAGTCCACTACAATGACATTTTCCGCGTCGGGAGGTTTATTAAAGAGCTGCTTGATTAAATATGTCAGTGAGTGACCGCAACTCGAACCGAGTCACTTGAGATATTAATTTTTCGACGTGAGTTCACGGACACACGATTGGTGTTAGGGAGCACTTAATATTGGAAAATCGCGCGATCTACCAGTTGTCTTTCTCAAACGAAATCGTAACATCAATCCCGTTAGGAGGAAATTGGAGCTAATACTCAGTCATGATTGATCGCGTAAACTTCTTTAGTGGAAAGTTTCTTTGGATACTGATGGTAAACGCTTGATGGTATTACCACATTTTATGAAAGAAAGGGATTCACTACGTCCACACGGTGATTAAACTCTTTTCAGCTCTAATAATTGCGTCATGTTAGTGTTATTCTACAAGAAATCATACTGTATAGCATTACTTTTCATCAATAGCATCAACAGGGGGTGCAAGACTGTCCTCAAAGGTGCGGTAGGCCTCCGTTTTTATTAAAAAAAGCTTGATTTCGAGCGAGTGTAACGCCTTAGTTACCTACCTTTTAAGGGTTGAAAACCCATATCTGTGTAACATAAATTCTATGAATTCAAATGCAATACACATTTAATTCATGCAATTAGTGCCCCCTCAAAAAGTTCTCTCTCCAAAGGGAACGTGAAAACTGGATCGCTGTCAGGCCGAGACTGTTTTCCTTGCATTTTAACTTGC